CAGATTTCATCCGGGATCAGCGATATTTCGGCGAATCAAACGAAAATGTTAATCCGCTGATCGATGCGATTCTTTTTCAATGTCTCCGTTAATCGCTCGCCTCCGATCCCGATGATCGACGATTTTATTTGTCATCCGCAGAGTTTACAGGTAGCGAACAGCGTTAAGCCGCACGAAAGTAGCGGCTTTAGAATTCGATACTTTTTATTGTCCACTAATACCCTCCAGATAAGACACAGTATCGCGCGATCGAATTCGAAGTACCAGTAAATTTCCATCGTTTTTCGTTCTTCGACGGAACTGGAAGCATCGAACGACGACCACTGAAACGTATGCTAAACACGTAGGATCGAGCTTCTGCCGTGTAATTAAATTGATTAGCGAATATCATGGATGCCTGCGCTTTCCTACGTAAAAGTGCACGGTCATAGTCGACGTATCTGCAAGTACACCGCGGTTTTTATTTCGCGAAATGCGGACGCGTTGAAAACATTCGTTATTTTCTCGTGGAAATTGTTCAGAGAAAATTGTTCACATTTTTGCTGAATTGTCGCCACCCGAGACCGTGGCACAGAAACTATTTATCGGTAAAAACTGCGGATATATGCTGCAAAATCATAATTTTCCGCGCGATTTCAAAGAAACCGCGGCCAAACAGAACTATCTTTTCTCCTCTTCTTCGATAACTTCAACACGCTGAAAACAATATATCAACATTTCTCCCATTCTTCAAACTCTTCTCCTGTTTCGCATCTCGCTCGTTCGTCTTCGTCGTAACCGCGTCGAATCCGCAGTCTAATTTATCCGAACGTCGAAGCCTCGCCGTCGCGAACATTTCTCGAACATTTGACGCGCAGCCCCGACTTACGCGATTAATTCTCCCGTAAACTAATTCCCTGTCCGGGCGCCGCGCGGCCGACGAACAGTTCGCGAAATCGCGCGATAATATCGCCTGAAGATCATTCATAGTTAAACAGTGTGTCCAGTGTCGGGCCCGACATCCGTTTCAAACAAGAGAGCCGGCCGCGCGCGTCTCGACGGCAAATAATTCTCACGTGTTTTCACCGCGGAACGTGTTTCCTCGCTGAAACGAAACGAAGAATTCTCGTATCGCGCGCTCGCATGGTACGGCGAGTTACTCTTGTTATGCAACCGAAAGATTACTATGTTTTTTTCGTCTTGGTTTTCCGTGGCTGTGTGTATCTCGCGGCGGCGATCGAAGAAAGGACGAGGACGAAGCGAGCAGAAATAATCGAGTCGAATGAAAACGGGACACGCGGCGTGCGGCGGCCGCGAGCTCCGGCTCCGTTTCATCGTGGACGCGACGAAAACGAGAGAAAAGAAAAAAAAAGGAAAAAGAAGAAGAAGAGGAAAAACGGAGCTTTCCGACACACACGCGGCGGCACAATGTTTGCGCAGGGATATTCGCCGCGTCGCTCGTTATCTGTTGTTCAGACCGATAGCCTTCCCCGATAATTCGATCTTGACGAACGATCGCAACGAAACCAAGGCTCTTACATATTTATCCTCCTCGCCCCGGCCGACGCGGTGCCGGTCTTGTGAGCGATTACCGTGATTTAATCGTTGTAAAATATGATTACGGGTTTTGCATAATTCCGCGCCGGTTGCTTGCTCGCTTGCTTGCGTGCTAACCGCGAACGGCTGTCTAACTGTTTCGACGCGCGAAAAACCGAAGGATACATTCTTCCGCGGCGTTCTCACATGGTCGAGAGATCGTCGGGAATCGAAAATGATCGGCACCTGTCCACTTGTTTGTTCAACCCCTTAACTTGTACGCTCGAGTTAAGTCGAGCGCGATATAAACAGGCCGAACTGTGCACACTCGAGATAATTCGAGCGGCGTTGTGTTTTATGCTGCTATAATTTTGCGCACTCGAATATAATCGAGAATTGAAAATAACGATGTGAAAGCAAAGAAAAACAAATCGTTTTATTGATATTTATCGTTTACGTGGGATTGTAAGCTGTAACACTTATTTATTCGAGAATAAAATATAGACTTTTCCCATGGAACAAAAGCGCAGTATATCAAAATTCTCCACCAAAAGAAAAGTTGAATCAGGGGCGGTGAATTGACTTTCTTTGCCCGGTTAAAAAAAAAAAAAAACTGTGCGTTAAGGGGTTAATTATTCGCCGTTACGGGTCACCCCGGGCAGGTAATTGTTCGCGCGAAGAAAATCCCGTTCGTTAGCGCGGTTGCTTAATCGCGTATTTTCAGCGATTTCTTGCGATCGGGAACCGCGTGCTCGCGACGCTGCAAAATGCGCGGGGTGCGCGTTTTTATTTCACGTTTTCTTGCACCGATTCGAATTGCTTTCGCGCGCGGATGATGAGCGCAAGAAACGAGCGCCCGCTGGAATGTCTCGCGGAAGCGTTTGCTTTTGTTAGAAATCGCCGGGTTCGCAAGGAAATTCTTCCTTTTTTTCCGCCGGCCAACCTTTTTCTCCCGCCGGTGACCTTTGATTCCTCGCGTTACTTTCCTCCTCGTGCTTGGCGCCGTCTTATTTAACCGAGCGCGCTCTCCGACGCTGCGCCGGAGTCCGAGTGATCGATGAAAATGCGCGACAGTGATTGAACGATCGATGTGTCGAGATGGAACATAGCAGGGATTATGTAAATATTCGAGCACGTTGACGGAGATCGCTTGAAAACATTGTCTCGTGTCGTATACATTGTGTAAACGAGCGTATAAAATTGTTTCAACAGTTCTCTTCGCGTGTGACGAATTTTTATCGTCGCGTTTGTCTCTTTGTCGTTCGTAAAACGATTATTTTACTATATATACTATTTTACTATATACGGTTAACGAATGCGGTGCAATGGCATTTTTATTCCGTTTTAACCGCAAGGAATTCTCTTGCCGGTGAATCGAACTTGAACTCCGTCTGGTACTCCGTCAAATTACAAAATAATTAATGGCGTTACGCCAAGAAAATTTCGTAACCGCGTCAAGATCCGCGGTCCAATTACGACAGAATGTGGACGCGTTCGATTATAAAAAGAAAAAAAGGTAAAAAATTGGCTGAATGAGGAAAAAGCCGGCGGATAAACGGTAGAAGAGGCGTCGTCCCGAGCCACGATCGACAATGTCAACGTTTCCGAGCGTCGAGCCGCGACAGGTTTCCAGAACGTTGTCCCATTAACGAGCTAAGCCGCGATCGGCCAGTGAAATATTCCACGGTCGAGTGAAATTAGTCGCGCGCGCGCGCGCGCATACACACACCTTTAGACGGGACTTCCTTCTCAGTCGTCGTCGTAAATACGGGAGAGTCGTCGCCGTAGGCCCGAGAAGAAGAAAGTAGTTTGAGAAACGCTGCCAATGAAACGAAAAGATTTTTGTATCGCGGTGGGAGAGAACGCGGAGGGTGGGGGGCGGGCGGAGACAGGGAGAGCGGGAAAAAGAACGCGTCGAAGGAGGTGAAGGTATTGCGAGCGCCGGTTAATTGCGATGCACGCCGTACGACACGTGTCACAGCATTGCGGGTCCCGGTCACGCATTCCCATCGATTACATCGACGACAAACGAATTTACAAGCGCAACTGGAACGTGCTTCGCGAACGCTCCAATAAGGCCTTTCCAAATAAAAGAAAGGATTCTCCTTAAATCGCGATTCGTGACGAGGTCTCCGCGCACCCCCTCATACCAATGAACGACCCGTTACACGGCAGCCGTTCTGTCCCCGGAAGGTGTCTGGGCCATACACGAGCTCGCACAAATGTTCTCAGACGTTATTTCCTAAAATGTGTTCCGTTGCTTTCAAAACATCTATTTGAATTTTGAGCTGGACCTACGATGATCGCTGCTGCGTCTACGCGCGAAGAACGTTGCGCGAATTTTTACACCCTCAAAGGAATTTAATGTGTCGGACACACTTACCCTTTCACTTGATTAAACGTTGAACCGCTTCTGTAACAATTATTCGTCGATGAAAGGAAAAAAGATAGATTTAAAGGGACGAAATTATATAAAAATTATTCATCCCCTAAAGAGAAAAGAGACAGCCTCGAAGAAATGTAAATGGAATGTAAATGGAATTTTTGTAGAGTGAAGGGAGTTCGTTTAAAGTAAACAGAGTTTATATACGTACAGTCCATATAAATGAAGTTCGAATGAATGGAGTCCATATAAATGAAGTTCAAATAAATGGAGTCCGTATACGTGAAGTTTAAATAAACGTGAACCATACAAATGAAGCCCAAATAAATGGAGTCCATATATATGAAGTTCAAATAAATGGAGTTCATATAAATAAAGTCAAAATAAATGGAATCCTTTTAAATGAAGTTCAAATAAATGGAGTCCATATAAATGAAGTTCAAATAAATGGAGTCCATATAAATGAACTTTAAATAAATGTGGACCATACAAATTAAGCCTAAATAAATGGAGTCCATATATGTGAAATTAAGACAAATGGAGTCCATATAGATAAAGTCCAAATAAATGGAGTCCATATAAATGAAATTCACATAAATGGAGTCCATATAAATGAAGTTTAAATAAACGTGAATCATACAAATGGAGCCCAAATAAATAGAGTCCATATAAATGAAGTCAAAATAAATGAAGTCCAAATAAATGAAGTCCAAATAAATGAAGTCCACATAAATCAAGTCCAAATAAATGTAGTCCATACAAATGAAGCCCAAATAAATGGAGTCCATACAAATGAAGTTCAAATAAATGGAATCCACACAAGTGAAATTTAAATAAATAGAGTCCACGCAAATGCGGTTCAAATAAATTGAATCCATATAAATAAAGTTCAAACAAACGGATTTCATATAAATTGAGTTCACACGGCCGAGGTCGATACAAAGTTACACCGTACTTGCGAACATCCCCTCCCGACCTGTGCACAAAACGCGAAAGCAACAGACTCCCCAAAGCCACCCTTGGCAAAATGATCGAAAGTCTGCCGACCAATGCAAGAAAACATATATCGATTAACATCGGGCTCGTTTGTGTCGCGTTTCAGGTAGCAGCCACGTAGAATGGTAACTTCACAACCCGACAGTACCAGAAGCGTGGGCGGCGGGGGCGGCGGTGACGGTGGAGGCGGCGGCGGCGGCGGCGAGGAAACCGTTTACACGGTGACCGTGAGCGGTGTCGGATACAGGAACGAGGGCTACAAAGACGATGGGACCGACGGGATACCTCCGGAGCCGCAGAAGCCGCCGCAGTTGTCGTCGACGGACGACGACACCCAATCACGGAAGTTCAAGCTGTCGCGCGGCGAGAAATGGCGGATCTTAAAGAACATTAGCACCGTCTCGGTGGCATTTATGGTACAGTTCACTGCGTTCCAAGGGACGGCGAACCTGCAATCCTCGATAAACGCTAGTGACGGTTTGGGCACTGTGTCTCTGTCGGCGATTTACGCGGCCCTGGTGCTCTCCTGCATCTTCGTGCCCACCTTCGTGATCAAGAGGCTCACGGTTAAATGGACCCTATGTGTGTCGATGTTGTGTTACGCACCGTACATCGGCTCCCAGTTCTACCCGAAGTTCTACACCCTGGTGCCGGCCGGGGTCCTCCTGGGTCTTGGCGCGGCGCCCATGTGGGCGGCGAAGGCCACTTATCTCACCCAGGTTGGAGGGGTCTACGCGAAGCTCACGGACCAGCCTGTCGACGCCATCGTCGTCAGGTTCTTCGGGTTCTTCTTCCTTGCTTGGCAGACGGCTGAGCTTTGGGGCAACCTCATCTCGTCGCTCGGTGAGTGATACGCTTGTTCCTTTGTCGCGATAGCTGGCCGATAGGCTGCGGATTCTCTATGCTTGCGGTTGCAAAATTGACTAGGCGACATTTTTAACACGTTCCGTGCCGAGCTTTTTTTACTCGAATCTTCACACTTTGATATTTTACTAAAACTTGATGTATTACGTGCAATTATTAATTCTCGTACACATAACAACATAACAAAAACTTATCAACGCCCATTCTTGCGGTGGAAATTGATTCTTCGGTTCTAAATTTCTTGTAAACAATTTGTTCAGTTCACTAAGTAAACATGCAAGCGTGTACCATCGATGGTACACGTGGCACGGAACGTGTTAAACGGTAACAAGAATTTTAGGACACCGATGCACGTCGTTTGCAGGCTATTTGAATCGTTCGCGAAAGAAAGAAGGGGTTAGAGTTTTCTTTAGGGGACCAAAATTTGTCGACTTTTTGTAGTATGTTTCCGTTAGATATTGACGAGAAAATGCCGAAAGTGCAAGTTTCATTGCGCGGAGTTCATTTGTTCGAAAGTTATACGTATTCGAAAGTGGCGAATTTTCAGTGTTTTTGAAAAAATAAACGTGGTTTAGTGATCAATGACTTTGACAAATGTCTGAAAAACTTAGTCGACAGGGTCAGATTATTGTGTACGATAGAGTTTATCGTATTTGTCAAAGAATCTAAGTTATTGTCAGATTATTGTAACTTCTGCAATGCCAATTGCGCGATTCGAAGGGGTAAAATGTGGATCTTTATACGAAATTTTCTGCAGCAATTACCCTCATGTTAAATGAGGACACTGAAGGTCTTCGCAGTCATTATTTACACTAAATTAGTGTAACTCATCCATTACTATTATCCATTACTATTTATTGAATTTATTTCATTTTCAAGCTAGGATAGTTTCTCGAATAAGAAATCATTATTTAACTTCCGTTTCTTGAAATTGTAATTTTGTATAACTATGTGGAAACTAGTGACGAGATAATAGGATGATAAATGCATTTCTATGATTATTTCCCGGAATCAGAAATTCTTCGAGCTCGAGTTCACCTTGCGAATGAATTATTAAAGTAAATAATTACGAAATTCGTCTCGTACATGATATCGAAGCAAACAAACGACAACTAGTAAACTCGATCAGGCGTATAAATAAATATTCTGTAAATTGTTGTACACTGTAGAATCATTTTGGCAACCTTTATATTTGGCATTATTTAGAGTTGTAAACTATCCAGCAGAAGAAAAACGTCGCCGATAAAATTTGCGATCCCGTGACACGCTGTAGCCAGAATAGCATAGTTTCTAAAGCACGTACAAAAAATTTAATCCAGCTACCAGATATAGCTATGCGATGGTTAAAGAGAAACTTGTTTCCTGTATCAACATCGCCGGCACAGCAATCACGACAGAGGTACAGTTCAATAGAAAAACTGCCCCCGGCAATTCGGTTCTGAATCTTCGTTTCACGATTCGTACGCAAACTCTTCGACCATATGTGGTAAATATTCAATGATGCTTCAATCGTTTGGAGCTCATTAACGACAGGGTCGCATTGCTGAAACGACTGCATTGTCTATTTGTCTTGATGACGGTGAAATTCCGACCTTCGGCGAAGCTTGAACTTCGAAGAGCGTAAAACAGTTTTATGACCGGGACGGTCTTTATAATACATAAATCAGCCGTTTATTTTGAAAGTGGCATAAGTCACTTTGTTTTCAAGTCGGTCACTTTGTTTATATATATATATCTTATTTCGTTTATGATCGTTATGTCGGACGTATTCGAGCCGTTTATTTTGAAAGTGGCATAAGTCACTTTACCGTAATGTGAAAAGTGATGATTTTTTAATGTTTATACGAAATTATTTATACTGAGAAAAATGTCAGTATCCTGAGATAACAAATACAAGTAAATCTTCTCGAAAGTTAGCATCCATATTTTTAAACGCAATATTTAATATTTATATACATATAAGTCGATATATTTAAGGGTTTGCATTTTAAAGTATTAAATATTAAATATTAAATATTGCGTTTAAAAATATGGATGCTAACTTTCGAAAAGATTTACTTGTATTTGTTATCTCAGGATACTGAGAGATATTTTTCTCGGTATAAATAATTTCGTATAAACATTAAAAAATCATCGCTTTTCACATTACGGTAAAGTGACTTATGCCACTTTCAAAATAAACGGCTCGAATACGTCCGACGATCAGTTATGTACCAGGGCCCGTGTCGAAGACCGACATTAATTAAAAAACGTTCTTCGAAACCGCGCGCGGATTTTTGAACGCTTTCGTTCGCCACGCGGATACATTTTCCCTGCTTTAAACGAAGCGAAACGGTGCCGATCAAGCGAAAGTTTCGCGCACCTATTTCTGGGGACTACACAGCCTACTTTATAAATATTGCAAAACAACTCTCATTAGACGTACCGTTAGATTATACAGATTCTTCCTCCTTGCACATGCGCCGACCGCGTGCAGCCTCAAATGAAATTACTCTTACGGTTTGTTTCACTTGAACGGCGCGCAGAATGTTCCCTCCTCAAGGCGCCACGTTCTGGTTCGTTCGTTCACGTTCGAAATAGTTCTCCCAATCATTTGCGTAACGATCTCGATTCGAAACCGCCGCGCACAGATTAATTGTCAGCATTTTGCGCGAACTACAAATGCGTCGATTG